GTAGAGTCAGAGGACAAAGTCAAATTAGCAGGGGTTCTTTCTTAACCCATTACTACCCAGAAGTGACCCAGGAGTGAGAATAAGAAAGAGCACTGAAGAAATGTCTAGGGAAGGTGAAAGAGAAGAAAAGCTGTGCTACCTGGGTACTCAGTGTGAAGTCAAGGGCAATGGTTGCCATGGGGAGGGTAAACTGATGGGGTCAACAGAGGGCAAAGTAAAAAGAGTTGGCAAGAGGAAAGAAACAGAGAAAGAACTATTTAGTTGCCAAGTTATGTGTTAGGCACCATGTATTTTGCATGTACCGTTTCATTTACTCCTCACTCCATGACAATAACCAAAAGCCACATTTATAACTAAGACATACTTTACATTTTACTTATCTCATTTATTATTGTCTTTTCCCCTCACTAGTACATAGGTTCCTGGAGGACAGGATCGTTTTTCTCTCCTGTTTCTCCCACTGCCTATAACAGTGTCAGCACATGGTAGATGCTCAATAACTATTTGTTGCATGAATAAACAGTTAGCATGAAGTGTCAGGCACTGTTATAGATAGATGCTTCCCATGAATGAACTCATTTTAACTTTCATTATGTGTAAGACACTTCCTCTCCTTGCGTCAGTTTCTTTAGGCTAGGGAGGTGTCAGTGGAACTTTGTGTTGAATCATAAGAGCTCCACTTTATCTCTTATATATTGGACTTTTCCACATAAAATTTCATTGGGAGAAAGGATTCTACACTAAACACTATGCTTGAAAATCCACTGAATGAAATAGTATTTAAATTCCTTCTAGCTCAGACATTCTAAGAACTTAAAAACATAGACACTGTCCTTTGGGTCAGGTTAGTGTTCCATTCAGCCCTACTTTCTGCAGCCAGGAAGAGGCCCAGGGATCTGCTGTGAGAGGCCATTCACAGGTCCCTTTTGCCCCAGCCTCCCGCAGACGCTATTACCCCTGTCTTCATGTGGCAGTTGTCTTCCCCATTGGGCCTTCTACTTACGTTACTTGCCTATGTTGAGACGGAGAAAGTGTAACTATCTATGCACAATAGTACTTGCCGGACAGCCGCACCTCTGTTTTATTCGAAAGGAACAGAACACTTACTGATTTTCTCCTAACACTCTTTTTGTTGACGTCCACCGCTGTGTGTCTGCCTGTTAGATCACAGTAGCCGAGGGTTCCTTGAGGGGTGCTGCTGATCTATAATCCTCCTAAGTCCCCGGCCTGAGCTGTGACCGAAGCTGTAAGCTTAGTTTGGAATTTTTCAATTTTCACTGGGCTCCCTCACACCTGCTCACTCACGCATTTTTATAAGTTCTTCCTTAGTCTCATTCTGTTTGTCATCATACATAGGCTTAAAGATTTCACTGGGTGCTCCTGCCTGGAGTCTGCGTTTCACATATACAAAATGACTCCCTTCTTACAACGTTTTTTTGTTTGTTTGTTTTTCGGTACGCGGGCCTCTCACTGTTGTGGCCTCTCCCGTTGCGGAGCACAGGTTCCGGATGCACAGGCTCAGCGGCCATGGCTCACGGGCCCAGCCGCTCCGCGGCATGTGGGATCTTCCCGGACCGGGGCACGAACCCGTGTCCCCTGCAGCGGCAGGCGGACTCTCAACCACTGTGCCACCAGGGAGGCCCCTTATAACGTTTTAAAACAAGCAAAAAGAGCATTAAGTTGTTTAGGTGTGTGTGTTTGTATATTTTTTTAAAAAACCAAGGTAATGAGAAATAAAAAAATTCAGGATAGTAGTTACCTCAGAGGGAGAGAGAGATCAAAACAAGGAGACAGAACAGAGGAAGGAGACATAAGTCAGGTGACCATATAAGTGTGAATTTCTTGCTGGATTGTTTATTGTATTCTATTTGTCTGTCTGTCTATCCTTGCACTAATACCACATGCCTTTTCATATCAACTTATCAGTCACTTATCAGTTTTTCTTATGGTTAATAATTTTTGTATCCTGTTTAAGAATAACCCGAGATCATGGAGATATCCTCCTGTATTTTCTTCCAAAGCCTGCTTGATTTTGATTGGAATTGCATTGAATCTAAAAATAAATTTGGGGAGAATATTAAAAAAACAAGAAGACATAAGTAAAACTAAATTATTAGGAATGTTATAGTTCTTGGGTTGAGTGATGGTTCTATGAGTGTTCACTGTATTTTAAATAAATAAATAAATAAAAAGAAATGTCCATATATAAACTAGTAATGATGAATTCTGCACCCCTGAAGTTCAAAAACGTTGATTGTAAGAGCAATGCGAGGTTTTTTTGTTTTTTTTTTAAAAGTTAACCAGAATCTATAATATACTTTAATTTTCTGTTTCTTTCCAATACATCAAGGGCTTTTTGAAACTCTAAGTGGATCATAGCTATAGGTTTGCCTCTCTCCGAGTTTACTTCTCCCTCAATTATTGTCCATAATTTAGTCAGGTTGGAATTTCCTTGTTGAAAACTATGTTGCATTTCCCCACAGGCCATTTTTATATAGGATTCGTTGATCCTCATCTTTATCTTGGGCCTTGCATGCTAGTTTGTATAGATCTAAGAATTACTGGCTACCTCCTGAATCATTTTGGGCGAAAGGCCACGATTGCTTGTTCCAGTCTTCCAACCCCATGTCCATTGATAAGATTGGGTTCTGTCTAGGGTTGCCAGATAAAATTCAGGATCTTCAGTTAAATTTTAATTTCAAATAAACAACAAATAATTTTTTAGTATATGTATGAGTTTGAGGCATACTTATACTAAATAATAATTTTTATTTACCTGAAATTCAAATTTAATTGGACATTCTATTTATATATTTTCTATTTATGTAAATATATATTCAATATATTTTTATTTGCCAAAACTGGAAACCCTACCTCATTCGAGCCAGTAAGTACTCTCCAGTGTCACTGTTCGTTTGGGGTCCCAGGGAGTGTGAGTTTGGGAATTGGACAGACAGCCAGGTTCAAATCCTGGCTCCTCCACTCAAGAGACAGAACTTTTCTTTTGGTCTCAGAATTCTTATCTATTAAATAGAAATGATAGCAATACCTCATGAGGTTGTTGGGTATATTAAAAGAGATGATATTTGCATAGTACTTAGTACAGGGTCTGGTACCTACTAAGCACTCAATAGCTGTTATCATTATTATTGTCAATTTTATACAGAACATTATGTGCACTGGCTAAGATTTAACCTAGTACTGGAAAATTCTACATTTACAGGATTAATTTGGGAATGGGACTCAGTGTCTCCTTTGGTGATGACCAATGCAAAGTGGCATCTAGCCCCCTTCCTTTGTGTTTTTGAATACTTCTTTTGGCCCCATGTCATGAAATGCCCCAGATTCATTCTCTAATTGCTTTTTCCTTTTAATATAAAGGCTTTTTTGTGCCTGTGTTTGGAGGTCACTTAGAATTCCTCAAGTTGGAAGCAACTGTCTTCCCCTAAGGAGGTGCTTGAGTGATTGAGAATCGCCTTTGAAATGCCACCTCAAGCCAATGAGTAATGAGTTTGGCTGATAAAAGGGAGCAGACCCTTTACATTCTCTTCTCTGACCCACCCATTCCCATCAAAACGGACCCACCCACTTTCCCATCTGTCCTGGCATCTAATCAGACATGCTAATGGCTAAAAAGGATTCTATTTAATCCCCCTCCCAAGACAGGCTTTTTTTCAAAACCCTAAACCTGAAAAAGTAAGCCTAACACTGGCTTCCTAGCAGATAAGGGTGACCATGTGGGACCCCTTAAATCACACCCAATTATCAGCTGCTTGTTCTGCCTGCTTTGCACGAATGGAAGGGAGCAGTAGCGCAAATAATCTAAAGATCATTTCCACTTGGTTTGGGAATGCACCACATGGTGTTGTTGTAGCTGATTTGCTTTGCTAATTTTGTTCTACTTAAGCTAATATTGAGATTGGTTCACATCTTTTTTTTTTTTTTTTTTTTTTTTTTTTTT